CATTTCTGACCCTCCTCCAGCTTCTCCAGGCGTTTTCTGCCCTTAGCATAGACCACACGTACTCCATCAGAGTGCCTATGTACCCACTGAGGTCCTGAACAGTCCTTTGAGGAATAGAAATAACATATTGTAAGTGCTGTTTCTTTCTAGTTTTGTTGCATCGTTTTAAATGTTTATTTTGTATATATTTATAAAGGAATTATTAATACATTTAATGAACTTATAAATACATATATGAGAGCTAAGGGCTCAGAAGTTTTTTATTGAAAGGAGTAGATGATTAAAAAGTTTGCAAATCATTGACCTACACCTGCCCCTCATTAGTTGGTCATGTTCTTTTTCTTTTTTTTCTTGTTTGTTTCATTTATGTTGGTGTGGTCTCTCCAACCAGACTGTCTATTCCTTGAGCACACAGACAACGTCTTATACTTTTCTAGTACATCCCATGGGCCCTGCCTTGTCACTGTCACTAAATTAATGAGCATTTACAAATACTTTGATTCAGTTGACCTTCTCCAGGGAGTCGACCTCAAGTTCTCTGCCCTCACCCAACCCCGTGAGGCCACTCATTCTGAATTTTTATATATTAGTCCGTATACCATGGTAACCTTTCTGTAGCTTCATGTACCAGTTGTTCTGCCCAGGTAATACCCTTGATCATTGAAGGCTTCAAAACTTGGCCTCAGAGTGTCCAGCCTTGGTGCTGGGGATATCATAGTAGTATGTGCCCAGTAAACCTTTGCAGGTTCCCTCACGTAAGGACTGCTTAAGACCCTTTGGATTTTCAGTTAAGGCAATAATAAATCCTTCATTTGCCTCTGCTTGAATTGGCCCATTGTGGTATGAGCCAGAAGGAGGTGTGTGTGCCAGTGATGGTACCCAAGTGAGATCATTCTGTTGTGGTAGGGGAGGTACATGGGTTTTTAATTTTAAGATATATACTTGTTTTACCATGTAGTAGAAAGAAAATAGAATCTCAGACAATTTTACAAATACTATGCTTAGGAGAGAGTCTATTTAAAGAAAAAAGTCCAATATTAGGATAGGTAGTGTGTGGATAGGGCAAAATCATGCAGGCAGCCTCTAAAGGACTGAATTTGGGGAACTCTAACCCAGCTTGTGCAGATGGACAGCTGGAGCCCCAGAAGCCATCAGCCTCCTTACCCATATCTTTATTAAGGGCTTCTTTCTCCCTAATCCCTCATACAGACATAAGTAGTCTCTTGTAACCTTGCTTGCTGTGAGAGCTTAATAATAATCCAAAAGTATCTCATTTATCTCTCTGAATCCTAATGGGCAAATGGGAACATGGAAATCTATTCCCAAGGTGGACATCAGAGCAATAGCTTTTGAGAAACACAGAGGTCAGAGCACTGAGCCTTTGCCCCAAGGGGCTCAGCTGTGATTCTGTGTGTTGTAGTTCCTGGAACTTTTCTCTGCTCCAGGAGGTACCATAGGACAGGAACGCCCTTGGAATTTCCAACCCGCACTGGCCCAGACTTCCCTGTGGGTGACATCCGGGGCTGATGCAATCTCAGCTCTGCTCTGAGGCACACTTGTGAACTCTTAGCAGAACCACGTGTTGACTCATTTTCTAACCTTGGAATGAAAGTGTTTCTCCCCATCTCCTCCCTGGCTTTCTGTTTTTCAGAATGAGCTTTTCATTTCTTTACTTGAAACTGGACTACCACGATTTGGCTGTTTTGGAATTTCAGAAGTCGTTTCTTCAACCCTCACTAATGAGAAAGACAGTTTACAGTTCGAAATAAAAAGTGGCTCATTCTCCAATATCTTACTCAAGGAGTTTCTAGACAGCACTTGCTGAAGCAATTGGGTTACCTGAAAGTCTGAGCCACATGGGGACAGTGTAAAGATGCACTCTTATTCATTGTTGGCAGGGATATAATTTATAGATTGTTCCTGGGAATATAAATTGGTACAACCTCTTATAGGTAATTTGAATCTCCAGGGAAAATCTGTGTGAATTAAAAATGCATGGACCCTTTGACCTAGCTGTCCTCTCTTTAGGAAATTACCTTTTTCATATATTTGCATGTGAGCCAAAAAGCTTTTAGGAGGGATCCATTGTTTATGATGGCAAAGATTGGGAATGACCTAAATGTCCATTAGTAGAAGATTGATTAAATTCTAAAACACCCTTATGTTGGAATTTTGTGCAGCTATTAAAGAGAACGGGGCATCTCTGTATGTGTAAATATAGGAGCTTCACATTGTTAGTGAAAAAGCAAGGTTCAGCACAAAATGAGCTGTAATTTTGATAAGAAAACATACTAAGTCTACAGAGGTGTACATATATATATATATATATATATGTATATATATATATATATATATATATATATATATAGAATATCCACAGAAGGACAAACAAGAAGCTTCTAATAATTGTTGTCTCTGAGAAGGGGAACTGGGAGGCAGGAGGAAGACAGAGACTTTGTTTCACATTGTCCTTTTGTATTATTTGAGTTATTTTTACCATGTTGCTTGCATTACCTACCCTCAATAATTTTTAAAAGTTTAATCCACAATAAATTTTATATTAAATTGCTTTTGATTTTTCAGAGTATGAATATTTAATTTACTGGCTGGTAAACTGAAAAAGTTTAAGAAAATGTACACCTGTACTTCATATGGCACTGAAAAGATGCTAACAGCTCCACCTGTTTCCCCCTTTTAATAGCTTACAGACGCAGACCTGATTAAACAGTGTATAGATGAATGTACAGCCAGGATTGAAATTGGACTACATTACCAGATTCCTTATCCAAGACCAGTAAGTGTGACTCCAGTTAACGTGCGGTGTGTACTTACTTATCCTTGTCAACCCAGTTATTTCCAAGAATATGTACCAAGAAGGCTAGTGTTTGCTGAAACGTCTAGGGCTGCTGTAGGAGGCATGTTGGAAATAAGGTATCCTTGCATGGCCACCGGCCCATCACAAAACGTCAGTGAATGCCTGATGCCACCTACTCATATGACTTTCCCACGTACGGAAGGGAAAGCCAGCTCACATTTATATAGCTTTCTCTTCTGACTTTCACCTTCTTTATGGAAATATTTTTATTTTCCTTATACAGGCGTACTGTTAATAAAAGAATAAAATTCAAACCTTAAAGGAATAGGTAAGGTAGAAAGTGAAAACTGCCAAAAATTCTCACCCTGTGGAAATGACCACTATATAACTGTTAAGTTGGACCATATGAAAGTGCCAGTATTCTACTCTTGACCTGCAAAAACAGCCATTTTATATTGTGTTGGTTCTACCTAATAGTTTGGTAATACATCCTTTTGTTCTTTTTTCCTATACTCACGTACATACACTTTCTTTACTTAAAGTGCATGGGACCCTAGGCACACTGTTCATTGACTGTTTTATTTCCTCTCTTCAGGGTATCTCTGCTTCCATCTTATGAAGTGGTTGCATTGTATCCTATTGTAAGAATATGCCACAATTTAACTAGCACCCTTTCAGTGGACATGTATGTTGGTCCCAATTTTCCACTATGCACAGATCATCTTTGTGCGCACACTTTTTCCCTCACCTTCTGTGGACTCTCATCTCACTGTGTGATCGGTGGCTTTTCCTCTGTGTAGGAAATACGGCCAAGAAGAGCACAATCAGACAGATCATCTCACAGTGTGATCGGTGGCTTTTCCTCTGTGTAGGAAATACGGCCAAGAAGAGCACAATCAGACAGATCTGGGTTCAAATCCTGGTTCCACCACTTAATGTATAACCTTGAGCAAGTTTTTTTTTTAACCTTCTGAGCCTCCGTTTTCTCATACATAAATGTCAGAGTAATAATTCCCTATGAGATTATATTGAGGAATAATGTGTCAGGACTATAAGGACTAGTAAGTCAGAATAGATTTAGCACTCAGCAGAAAGCATGGTTCTTAGTAAATCTTCAGTGAAATTTAAGCTGCTGCAATAATGATCATTTTTAATATTATAATTATTCTTATTACTCAGATTCATCTGCCTCCTCTGGGCCTTACCCCACTACGAGGCCGGGGACTTCGAAGCCAGGAAAAACTGAGGAAGCTTTCCAAACCAATATATCTCAAGTCTCACGATGAGGTTTCCTAACGCAGAAGAAAGTTTATTTCTGAGGATGATGAGCCAGCGAGGCCTTGCATGTAAACCAGATAACAAAATCCTTCCTGATTAAGAGCAAAAAACCCAAGTATCTTCTTAAAACTTCCAAAGCACTGCTGCTCATCCCATGATGTGTGCTCACACACCCCTACAGTTTGTCAGGGTCTTGCTGCCTGAGTGGACACCAATCCTCGAGGTCATGGACCTCACCTCCTCCCTGAAGCATCACTTGGAAACAAGACTAAGGCCAGTGGAGAGAAGACTGAGGGGTGACAAAGCTCTTCATGGGAATGCCGCTCACCAGACATGCCAGCTGGCATGAAGAAAGTAGCCAGTTGCTAGAAATTCTCCTGGATACTATAAAACTATATACCACCCTCAGAATATATTTAGCTTTTTTTTTCAAGTTATAGATTTGCTTAAAAGTGGGCTTTTTGTGTGTGCTTTGTTATCTTTGGGCACTTCCAATTTCCAGATAAACTCCCCTTTAAAAATACATCATTGGATCAATCAGAGTTTTTCATGGAAATTTTATATGGGACCTCTCCCTACCCTCAACATACACATACACGAAAGTGCATGAATTAAATGCATTAGTTTACTTTATCTAAAAACCCGTGATTACTTTGTGTACACTTAGGATCAGAAAGGCTCACTAGAAATTCTTACTGCATTCATTATGAGAATTTTACCTTAACATAATTACGAAGTACAAGGGCTAAGCTGGCTTTCAAATTATGTCTAAACAGAAATGGGACAAGTAGAGATTAAAACACTAATGATTTATAATGAAAAAGAATATATGTATGTATATGTATTACTGAAGCCTTATGCTGTACACCAGAATTTGATACCTTGTAACTGACTGTCCTTCAATTAAAAAACAAAAACACAAAGGACTTCCACCCCTGCATGTGTGGATAAGGCGAGATAACTATGGCAGGTCATTTGTACATCTGTGTCATTCCCTCTTACCTCCACAGAGGATGGGCATCACCTGTAAAGACAAATCTCTATTGATTCTGGTCTCTCTGTACTGTTTTCCAAAACGGCCTTGTGATCCTCAGAAGCGGCAGTTGATAACTTCCTGCCCACACCTAGATTTAGGATTCCTTTTTCACACAGATATTCAATCCAAAATACACATATTTCAATTTCAAAACATTTTCCTGTGAGCAGGAGCATACTTTCTCACAGTCAGGTGAGTAACAATTGCAGGGTTTGGTGATGACATGGAGAACAAATAAAATACTGTGTCAGTAAAGAAATAGCATGTGCATATTTAACACAAATGCAGTTACAGGCCTTTGGTGAAGAGAAAGAAATTTAAATGTGCTGACAGACATGCTGGCCACTCCATGGCCATTCAGTACATACCCCAGCCTCACCTGAATTAGGAGATACCAGTCTGCTGTTCCACCAAGTCCCTCTCCTTCCATCTGATTTCGTTGTGGAAGCATCTCTCTGCCCAGAAGTGGTTCTGATGTTTAAAGTATTTCTAAAGCAACATTAGGTCTGTGAACTTAAGACAACTAATTTATCTGGTGGTCAGTCAACAAAGTAGTGACCTGTTCTTGCATTGGATGAAAAACTGGCTGTGCTGAACTGAGTGAAACGTGTCTTGCCTGTCTCCATATTGGTCCCTTTCTAAGTATTTCAAGGTGATTTTGACAATGCAATTTGTGTCTTACCCTGTTGAGGGTAGAAACCGTCCTTCCTACCCAGACCCCTCAAAGATGAAAGTTCATCTAACTGCTGGCTAACCTCTAAGTGTCTTCTGTGTGCCAGGAATCTGAACTAAACGTGAATTTTATATGTCTAGCCTCCTTTGTAAAGATGCATGTTTTGTTATACAAAACATAATTTCCTACCAAAACTTCCATGTAAACTGTTTGTTTATAATTTTTCTCCACTTTCTTTCCAACCCTATACAATCTCCATCTTTGGTCTTTTAAGGTATCCCCAATATCCCCTCTCTTTTTTTTGTATGTCTTTTTCTTTTTCTTTCTTTTCTTTTTTTTTTTTTTACTGAAGTATACAGTTGTTTACAATGTTGTATTAGTTTCTGGTGTATGGCAAATTGATTCAGATATATATACTCTTTTTTATATTCTTTTCCACTATGGTTTATTACAAGATACTGAATACAGTTCCCTGTGCTATTCAGTAGGACCTTGTTGTTTATCTTTTTTATATATAGTAGTCAGTATCTGCTAATCCCAAACTCCTAATTTATCCCTCTCTCCCTCCTTTCCCATTTGGTAATTATAAGCTTGTTTTCTGTGCCTGTTTCTATTTTGTAAATAAGTTCATTTGTTTCATATTTTAGATTCCACATATAAGTGACATCATGTATTTATCTTTCTCTGACTTACTCATTCCATAGGATAATCTCTG